ATATATATATATATATTATACTTATTATCATATTTTTTATGAATTTAAATATTCATTATTTTTTATAATGCGGTATCAAATATTATTAACATATATAACTATAAGAAATTCATAAATTCTCTTCACGTCCAAGTATCAAATGACATAAATACCCCTCTATTTTCTGAATGAATTTCATGCATAATGTCCATAAGTCCTTTCAACATTTTTAAATAAAAATCCACAAAAATTCTTTCCATAATTATTTTTCATATTAACAGTAAAGGGTATTTGTCTTTTTTGCCAAATAACTTAACTACCCCTCCACTTTTAAGTATATGTAAATATTTCATTATGCTATCACGACTCAAGATCCAAGTTTCTATTAAACCATACTGTAGAATTATGGAAAGAATTTTGATTATGGCTCAATACATACATCACACTTTGCTACATATATATAATACTAAAAGAAAACAAAATAGGATCCTCTTAAAACTAAAAAATATAGGAAAAAGGAAATATCTAATAAAGGAAATAAAATTTGTGAAATATATTTTAAGGAAAGTAATCCAAGCTTGAACTAAATCCAAACTTGAACTTCAATTCATCATGATTGACACTTAGCAGTGTTTTGGAAAGAATATCAACTGTCTAAAGTCGTGTAAAAACATAGCCAATCTGTACAATTCCATTGTTAATCTTTTTTAAGATGAAGTGTTTGTCAATCTCAATGTATTTTGTTTTAACATAGTGCACAAAATTTTTGGCTATACTAATATCAGCTTGGCTATCATTGAACATCTAAATTGTGTTTTTCATCTCAGACTTGAAGTTCCCTTAATAGTCTTTGAATCCACATTACCTTTACATATTTCTAATGTAAGAGCATGAAATTCAAATTATGCGCTGCTCTGAGACAAAAATTTAATAATAACTTAAAAGGACAATTATAGAGATGACTCGAGAGAAGGAAGACACCACATAAATCAAAACATAAAACAAACATTACAAACAAAGACTCAACAAATAAAAACACAATAAGCTCGACGATGAAAGAGTCTAGAGAGATAGTGCTGGAGTGGTGGTTTCGGTGAAGCCCAGAGCAATGTCGAGCGAAAGCAGGTAGCAAGTCAAGGCTCGTCCATGCGCCAAACCGCAGCCAGAAGAAGTGAAAAACGCCATCGAAGGGTGGAATCCGGAGATGGCAAGGATGACGACCAAAGTCGTGGAACAAAGAGAAGAATGGTGGCCGAAGTCGAGGAGCAGAGGCATAGGAAGGTCGTGAGCTGCAGAAAGGAGGGAGGCAACAGCTGGAGACACTGTGAAGGCCTGATGAAGGTTGCAGCTTGCTGGAAGTGAGGCGACGACAGATGGATGGGCATAGAGAGGCTTCTGGTGGTGGTGTTGGAAGGGCAGCAACGAGCTGCGAATCCAGGTGGCTGCAGTGGAGGCGTTTGGAAGAACAACAAGTGGGTTGCGAACTGCTTGCAGTGCAGCTGCAACGGAATCGACAATGGTCTGCGAGGGCAGAAGAGCTGCGACTGTATGCAAGGAGGCTGCAGAAAAGCTGATCGGCTGTCTGGAGGCGCAACAATGGACCGCAACAATCCAGCAGGGAAGCTGCAGTGGAACTTGGCGGCAATCTGAGAGAAGCAGCAGGGGAATCAAACAGTTGTTGGCTAGCAGAGAGGTGGTCAACGATGCTGGAGGGTAACTGGATCGTCGACGGACTGCGGGACAACATGTAGAGGTTGGAACGACAAAGATAATCATTATTTTGGATGGGTTGTAGCGGGAGCACCTTCCTCATTGTCGAGTACAACCCTCAAGAAAAAAACACTCAAATAAAACAGAATTCAGATTTCAAAATCAAGACCCCTAACTCTAGGCGCCTCAAATCCTATTTATAAAGAGACTTGACCTAATTATGGAACACTAAAATAAGATGGAGAATTAAATCAAATTTTAAGGGCTTTAAAAATAAGGAAGGGGATAAAATCAGATTTCAGTTTTAATTTAAAATGAGGAGAACAAAAAATCAAATTTCAGTTTTAGGGAAGGTTTTAAAATTAGGAGAATAAAAATCAGAATTCAGTTTTATGAAGGTTTTAGAATTAAGAAGGGCCTAAGATGGTAAGAAAGGAAAGAAAGAAAAACAAAAGAAAGAAAAAGGAAAGAAAGGAAATCAGAGAAAAAGGAAAGGAGGGAAGAGGGAGAAGGGGCGGCAGCTCCCCTTCCATGAGGGAGAACCAATCGATCCTTCTGCCCGAGCCCCACATAAGTCTCCCGAGGTTGTGGGAGCTTTGACCTCATCTGTCGAAGCTTCTGGATCCTCAAAGTACCAAGTCAGATCTGTAACGTTGAATGTGGTTGAAATGTTGTAGTCCCCTAGTAAGTCAATTTTGTAAGCATTGTCATTGAGTTTTTGTAGAATTATGAAAGATCTGTTTGCTCTGGATTTCAATTTCTCAAATGCTCCTACGAGAAATCATTCTCACTCGGCAGCATCTTCGCTGAGTTCTGACATTGGCAAAAGTGGAATTAGATCAAGTAATGTAAGCAGATTACGGCCGTAGACAATCTCAAAAAGGTTGTGTTCCGTTGTTTGACTCATGGATCTGTTGTAAGCGAATTCAGCTTGAGCTAGAATGATGTCTCATTGTTTGATTTCTTTCCAACGAAACATCTTAGTAAGTTTCTCAGGCTCCTGTTCACTACTTTGGTTTGATCGGTGGTCTACGAGTGAGCATCTGAACTGAATTGGAGCTTGGTGATTAACTTCCCCCCATAAGGTACACCAAACGTAGCTTAGAAATTTAACATCTCTGTCAAATTTAATGGTTCTGTGAATCCCGTGTAACCTGATAATCTCCCTGATGTATAATTCAGTGATATAAGAGGCTTCTAGTGTGTGGTGACAGGTACGAAATGTGCCATTTTTGAAAATCGATTCACTACAACCATTACAGAATCTTTATTTTTCTCTGTCCTAGGGAAACCTAGTACGAAGTCCATGCTAACATCCACTCAAGGTGCTTCTGGTACAAGCAACGGATTATAAAACCCTTTATCCTACCCAATTGTTTTTCCTAAATGGCAAATCCTGGATTGTCAAACGTGTCGCTCTACATCCCTTGTTAGTCGAAGCTAAAAGATGTGTTCTTTGACGATGGTGACTCTTGTCTCTGCCGAAATGGCCTGCGAGGCCTCTATTATGGTTCTCTTGTACAACTACTTCTCTTAAGGAGCATCTTGGAATGCATATTTTATTGCGGTAGAACAAGTAGCCATTTGCACAGTAGTACTACCTGGTAGGTATCCATATATCTTTGAAGTCTTTGTCTACTGTGTACAGGTCTTTCATGATCTCGAACCCTATGACGCTTGTTTACATAGAAGTGATTAATAAGTGACGCCTGCTTGGTGCATCTATGACGCGGTTCTGGCTCTCAGCTTTGTGTTTAAGTACGAAATTGAATGATGTCAAAAATTCTACCAAAGTTGTGTGTCAGTCTTTCAACTTACTCTGGCCATTCAAAAATTTAAAACTTCATGATCTGTAAATAAGGTGAACTCACTTGTCAGTAGGTATTGGCTCCCGTGCTCGAGGGCTCCTACGATTGCGTAGAATTCTTTTTCGTTGGTTTAGTATTTCCTCCTAGACTTGTTGAGTTTCTCGCTAAAAAAAGTGATGGGGGTGACCGGCCTGGCTCAGTACAACCCCTATTCTAAGGCATGATGCATCACATTCTACTTCGAACAGTTGTGTGAAATCTAGCAAGGCTAGAACTGGTGCTTGAGTTACATTTTCTTTGAGTACGTCGAAGCTGGTCTAAGCGGTGCTTGACCAAGTGAACTCTCTGCTTTTTAAAAGCTAGGGGAGAGGAACGGTAACTATATTGAAATTTTTAATGACTAGAATGATGCTAACACAAAAAACTGTCTTAATTCGGTGAACGATCGTGGTGTGGTCCAGCTTATAATGACTTTGATTTTTGTCGGATCTATTTGAATGCCTGCATCAGGTACGATGTATCCCAAGAAACACATTTGATTTGTCATAAAAGTGCAATTTCATGGATGGGCATATAATTTTTCGTTCTGGAGTACTTCGAATACTGTTGTCAAGTTTTACGCATGTTTCTCTTCAGAATGATTGTATACCAGTATGTCGTCAAAGTAGAGTACGATGAATTTCCCGATGAGGTATCTCATGAAGGTGTTAGGGGCATTTGACAGACCGAAGGGAGTGAATGTTCACTCGTATAGTTCA